CGGGTATCATAGCGACCGGGTCTTCAGACGGCGTATTGAAGGTATGGTCGGTGCATCGCCCTGCAGTGGGAATAGGAGGGGGAGGGGCGTAAGCCAAAAACCGCGGTAAGTTGAACCGGTAAGCTTGCTTCAGCTCTCTAGGGGAGAGGCTAATGAAAGCCCCGTGAGGCTTCAAAGAGTCAATGTCTCCAGCGGAGTAGGTAAAGTCTTTCGGGCGGAACTTGCAGTGTCGCGAAGGTGAAAGAAACAAGTTCTCAACTGGGAGGAGTTCTTTGTGTCCTCTTCATTCCGTTTTTGGCATCGAAGACATAAAAATTGGACGGCAATGACCGGAGAGTATTTGGTTTGTTCAGGAATTCCAGTACCGGGTGGGCTTCAACCGAACCTTACTCGAAAAGCTACCCGGCCCCTACGTGCCAAGCCACCTGCCAAGAAATTTTACACACATGAGCTATTTTCAAGCAGCAAGCCGCGACTTGAACGAATGTATGCTAGGGATATACAGCTCGATTTTGGTGGAGCTGCCCTGATTTCGAATCGTCCCCAAGGAGTTCTCCTTTATTTGCTCACATGTAATTACTTCCTGTGCAGCTTGCTGAGAGACGCACTACTTCATTTTACCTTCATGTGAAGCCATCGTCCTCTTTAAACCACGCTGTCACACCGTCTGCAACGTAACAGGTGTTTCTGGTTACGTGCATCATGCTATCAACGGCACGTATAAAATGGAATGAGAGGATTAGACCGGGCTTCGCCCTAATTCCCCTGGTGTTGAGCATTGCGAAAGTACGTACTGATGATCTGCCTTTCCCTTCTCAGAACCCTAACAGAGCTAAAAGACTATGAAATCGCTTCTTTTGACCATTTGACAGGCTTTTTGTGCGACTGTAGGCCCTCGACGTGCATATTTCATGCCATGCACCAGACAGCCTATGTCCACACCACGTCGTTCCCTGTTCTTCCCTTCTTCAAATCTCCGACAGAAAATGACGGCCATCCCTTGTCCCTTCTCTTTCTCTTCTCTCATATCTCATTACTCTCCTTCCGCTTCATCCACCTATGCTCCGTCTTTCTCCTCTTCCTCCCTTTGCTCCTCCTCCTCCTCCTCCTCCTCCTCCTCCTCCTCCTCCTCCTCCTCCCCCTCTTCGTCTCCTCCATCTTTGCCACCCCCTTCCTCTGGGACAATAGCCGCCTCTTTGGCATGGGCCACGTCTTTCCTCCTCGACCACAACGTCCCCGACGCCGCCCTCTCTGCCGAATACCTACTGCTTCACGCCCTCCACTACCCGCCATCAACGCCGCGGCGGGTCCTTCATGAACGGGTCTCCGAGGGAAGTGAAGAGAAAGGGGAAAATGTTCTACCCCCAGGTATATCCTCAACCTTCCTTGTGCGAGATAGTCGTGCAAGGGCCGGGCGGGATGTATCTTCATCTTTTCTCCCCCTCCCCCTCCCCCCCTTGACCCTCTCAGACATCCGGGCTGCCTTTCAATCCCTGTTATACCGGCATGGAATTAAGCGGGAGCCAGTGCAGTATTTGGTGGGAGGTTGGGATTTCCATCGCATCCATTTAGCCCTGGTGCCCCCCGTCCTGATACCACGGCCTGAGACCGAAGAGCTCGTGGAGTGGGTCCTGGAGGAGGAAGGGAGGGAGGAAGGGGAAGAGGGAGGGGGAGGGGGAGGACCAAATCTTCCGATCCGGTTTTTGGACGTGGGTTGTGGGAGCGGGGCGATCGGCTTGGCTTTACTCTGGGCTTATAGGGACGCGTGGCCGTCAAGGTGAGAGGGAGGGAGGGAGGCATCATGTACAGCTCACGCT